TGTCAATGGAGGCCAGCGGATTTGATCAAAAATATCTTAATTTGTGTTCTGAAGATGAACGAAGGTCTTAGGGGTGTGGAACGGCATGAGGGTGAGTAATTAATGACAGAATTTTCATTTTTGGGTGAACTATCCCTTTAATGGTTTGATTAAATGAAGTACTCAAAAAGGAAGTCTAATCAATTAATGATAATTTACTGCTGTTATGTTGTGAATGTACTCTGCTGTGTTTGTACGTGACCTTTGTGTATTCCAGCTTTGCTGTGTACCATTTTTTTTTTTTTTTCTCACATTTAGTCATTTTGCCGACGCTTTTATCCAGCGTCGAAAGAGATGAGTTCAGCTGTCGCTTGAAAATTGTCAGGGATTCAGCCTTCAGGGATTCTCAAATTGAATGGACGTATAGATAGGTCAGTTCTGTAGGACTATTTCGAAAACCAACCAAATTCAAAGTCTTTTTTGTTGTTATTATTATTATTGCACTGTTTAATGCGTTGTCTGCATGTCTTTGGTTGACGCAGGTCGACATGCGAGCTGTATCCTCACTGGCCAAGTGGCAGAATTCGTACAGCATCCGTGTGGTTCTGCAGGAGCTGCGACGACTCATGATGTGCAAAGAGAACATGAAGCTGCCGCAGCCTCCCGAAGGACAGATCTACAGCAACTGAGCTCAGAGCTTCTCCATCTTCTCTACCTTCATCCAGAAAACATTCACACACGCAAGGCTGAGCATTCCTTCTCCTCCTCTTTCTGGACTGATGAGAATTCCTCTCTGTTCCTGACCACTCCCCATGTGCTGCAGCAGCCAGTGAGCAGTCCTGCTTCAGGAGCTCCCATTGGACAGAACCGATGGATGTAGTGGTGTGCACAGCAGAATACTGTACATCATTCTAATCTTTTTTTAAACGTTTATTTGTTATATCCAGAGCTTCTCCGTCATCCTCTCTACCTTCATCCAGAAAACATTCACACACGCAAGGCTGAGCATTCCTTCTCCTCCTCCTCCTCCTCCTCCTCCTCCTCCTCTCTGGACTCATGAGAATCCCTCTCTATTCCTGACCACTCCCCATGTGCTGCAGCAGCCAATGAGCAGTCCTGCTTCAGGAGCTCCCATTGGACAGAACCGATGGATGTAGTGGTGTGCACAGCAGAATATTGTACATCATTCTAATCTTTTTTTAAACGTTTATTTGTTATACATGCAAATTGTAAAAATAACAAATGATCTTATTGAGTGTAATTTGTGTGCCCTCATTTGAGAATAGTTCTGCAAGTGCAAATGAATTTGTGCCATCGTGTAACATGCTGTGTGGTGGAATATTAAGATTTTATCTTTTTTTTCCCATCTTTTTCTAACCTTTGAGTCAACAGTCTTGACTGTTTAATCTATGGGTTGCGTCTTGAATGGAGTCTCATTTCTTCAGGCTCTCTCAGCTTTAGGTCACTTCAGTTAGTTAAAAGTTATAAATAAATAATACCAGAATATTAAGATTTTATCTTTTTTTTCCATCTTTTTCTAACCTTTGAGTCAACAGTCTTGACTGTTTAATCAATGGGTTGCGTCTTGAATGGTGTCTCATTACTTTCTTCAGGCTCTCTCAGCTTTAGGTCACTTCAGTTAGTTAAAAGTTATAAATAAATAATACCATAAGCTCAATAATAGAAAATGTTTACAACAGCAAAGATGAAGTGTGCGATTTGTATTTTATGATGTATTCTATCCCATCTTAATATTCAGAGAAAACAATAAGACCGATGGTTGAAGGTTGATGGCTCATTATTTTATTATTATTATTATTTATTTTTTAGTTTGGTGCTAGGGCTGCAGATTACACACAGTTTTAGCATTATATTTTCCATTGAGCTGTTGAGAGCTTTGACACCATGGACACTTATTAAGTTTGTGGTCAATACATTCTAGACAAATTAGATAAATTGTTAATTAAAATTTGTTGCATTTTAAGTTTTATAAAATCAACAAGGTGATTACCGGTCAGTTATGCTGTGCTGGACAATCTGTAACAAAAACTGACAAACTTGCTGCATGTTGCTCCCACTTCAGTGAACAGCTGTGGGCAGTAAGTTTTCATAACCCTTGCAGGAACAGCAAGTTTTAATAATTAAAAAAGAAGGGGGGGGAGGGTGTACTGCCTTAAATAAGCTATTTCACATAACAGATGTTTGAATATTGTACACAAGGATAAGTAACTGAATTGAGTCTCACAACTGTGTGAAAACCCTGATTTCAGTTATTTATAGTCATTGTTTGAAAGGGATCAAATATCCAGAAGATCCTGGAGAAACAATGAAAATGGGACTAGGAGGACTTTCCTGAAGAACAATGGCCAGTATAACTGCTCAGGGTAATCAAGGGTCTCATGAACAATCACAAAACATACAACCACTGATCATTCAGCTAACAACAGTATCAAAGCTATGTCAACTTTTTAACTACTTCATTGTTTCAATTCTGTTATTATTTTGTCTTGTGGACTCGATATCTGTTGTGAAATAGCTTATTTGTGATAGTATGAAGTAATTTAATTTGTATCCGAAACAATTAGAAACATTTGGCAGGTTCTGCAAGGGGTGTATAAACTTACAACCACAACTGTATACATACAACACCTTACAAAAATAATCACAAGTGAACTCAAGTTTTCTGATTTTACTCGATGTTGAAAGAGTTCAAACAAAAGTTTGTTTCTTCATCGGAACAGATTTGGAGAAATTTAGCTCACTCACGCTGCAGTGAATGGGTGCCGTCAGACTGATGGTCTGGATGATAAAAACCACAATAATCCCAAGTAATCCACACCACTCCAGTCCATCAATTAATGTCTTGTGAAGAGAAAAGTTGCACGTTTGTAAGAAACAAATGCATCAAGACATTTTTAACTTTTCTTCTGACTTAAATATGAGTCCTCTATCCATAATATTGCTTTCTCCAGCAAAAAATCTGGATCAGTGGAGGAAGTGTTACTGTGGATTATTGTGATGTTTTTATCAGCTGTTTGGACTCTCATTCTGACGGCACCCATTCACTGAAGCGGATTCGTTGGTGAGCAAGAGCTGCAATGCTACATTTCTCCAAATCTGATGAAGAAACACATCTACATCTTTGATGAGAACATTTTCATTTTCATTTTTGGGTGTCATTCATTGGATCACTTGATGCACTAAATAGGTGACCACATGCACAGAATTAAAACTGAAAACTCTAAAAAAAAAAAGTTGCAGGCACACACACATAAGAAATGAATTCAGGTTTATTGAGCCACATTTCTCCTCTTTTTTTTCCCTCAATTTCTTTTTTGTCAAAATGTACCAAGAAACATGAATTTTTGGTGCAATATGGCTTTGACATACAAATGCAATGACGTTTCTGCCATGTCTACAAGAAACGAATCACTAAAAATAATTTATGAATTTGCTAGATACGTTTATCTAAAGAGATTTACGTTGCATTCAGGCTATACATTCTGTATCCACTGGAATCCAACCATCTGTGCTTGTTTGAAAAAGAAAAAGTGTTAGTCTAAGTCAGTCAGCATGTGCCTATCTGTGATGTTTGGCGCGTGCGCTCTCAAAGCCGTTATCAAACAGCCATGTTGAGTCTCTGAGACAGAAATGACTCAATATCCCACTGAAATAAGGATAAATATCTCCACGACGGTCTGAATATGAGCGCGTCACCACGGCTGTCATCGAAAAGGTAAATGCGTCTCTGCATGCAGGGACTTTTGTGTAAAGCTGTAGTAAAGAAGACTGGTGTTGAGATGAGGAAGCCGGTACTGCTCATGGGTTGTGTGGAGAAAACTCATCCCATTTATTACACTGTGCTTTCAGAAGTGAGGGTTAGGTGTGATGAAGATCTTCATAAGTGTGTGTTGCATCACTTCTGTAACACATGATATGATCACTGAGTATTTGATGCTAGTAAATTCTATATTAGTTAGCAGCAGGTGCTGTGTGCTGAATAGCGGGCATCGTATATTTTAACCAATAGATAGTATATCTCTTACTTAGAAAAATGACTTCAAGCAGGTTTAACATCTAATCACTTGCAGATTTGAATTATAATTAGGCTAATTCAATTAAAATAATTTCATTATTTTCTGTCAAAATGCTAAGTAAAAAAAAAAACGTTGTATTAGTAAGAATTCTTGGTATGCCTAATGAAGTTCATCCCAATGTTTTGTAGCCTGTAGGCTATAAAATGCGATTTCTATTAAAAAAAAACTAAAATAAAACGTTATTTAATTATTGATAGCCGACCAGTAACTGAATTTTCACAGTTTTCTATAATTGACTCTAAAAGCAATGACCGATATTTATAATTAATTACATACTTGTAATGTGACTAGCCATGCATCCAGGTTGTTACCCTGCGTACAGCGCGAGATGCTGGGACAGGCCTCAGCATCCATGTGACCCGACACTGGACGCGCAGTTCGCAAAATGGATTTCAATGGAAGTTCTCACTAGTAACATGTAGATGCCAGCTACAACAATTATTAGACTTCTGCTTTATAATACATTTTAAATAGTAAAAAAATAGAAAGGTGGGAGGTTGGTGGTTGCATGGAAATTTATCCCAGTTCCCTTCCTTGACCTGCGAAAAAAGACCATTGTAAAGGCAGTGGTGAGGGTTCTCCATTAACTTCAGGTGAGCCACATCATACACTGCTAACCCTTTTTGTCCCAGTGTCTCTCTTCACACACACCCACTCCACTCGGGACGCTGGCCAAAGGTATGAAAGACTTCTGTTCCATCACAAAGGAAAAAAATAACTCCCGGGATTGTTACAACAAGTTGGAAACACACTTCTTTAGAATGTCGTTATATGTTGTAGTATTGAGAGGTTGTTCTCACTGGAATTATTTCAATAGCCAAACTCCTTAATCAGTGGTGTACACAGAGTTTTGCCATTTATATCCTGTAATAGATTAAATGTTAAACTTTCTTGCCATATAACTTTCTTGCACTGGAGACAGAAAAGCCTTCAAATTCATTCAGCTGCATCTTTTGACATTTAATTCTTTAAAACAAGTTTATTCGGGTGTATTCAATCATCATATCTGCTCATTTACAAAACTTCCAACATTTTTTTTTTTTTAATTATATAAAACATTTCACTGTTTTTAAGCATTAATTGTGCAACAAATGAGGCGGGGCATGTCTAAGCAAAACTAAATTTGCTTACATAAAATTGAAAGAAAAACATCAAGCTCTTCAATAGCCAGGGCCTATTCATAACCCTCCTGGTCTTCATATGTATGTAGAAAGCATTTCAGATTAAAAAAAATGAAACCCTAGAAATGTCAAATAAAAACTGTACAGTAATTTTTATTTCTTAGATGAACAGAGAAACAAGAAAAACATTGATCGTTGGATTTGATCCGTACGGGGTGCTAGAAACCAAATTAACACAGAACCTACCAAATCAAACATTCATAGACATGCACGTATATTTAACCCACAATTTATATACCAGTGCTATATATGGAGATGGATTGTGAATTAATTTAAACTATTTATGATGTTTCTTCTTGGTTACGTTTGTTGATGTGTTTTGGCATTGAATAATTTGCCGTGCGAATAGCTGCAAATATGTTGCATGAGTGGAAGAAGTCATGTAAACGAAACAGATGAATAGAGCTTTTTATCTATTATACTGCAGTTATGCAGCATAAATAATATGAATGTAACTTTGGTCTTTGTGTACCCCTACTGTAATTGTATCTGGCACTTTTAAATGTTAAATAGATGTCAAATGAATGTAAAATGTAAAATCAAAACAACTATCCCTGACTTAAACTTACATTGTTAGAATGTTCAGCGAACACTCGGTGCCATATAATAGCCTGGAAAGCTGATGATGTCATACATTTTTCCTCTTCCTTTTCTGAGAAAAAGAAAAAAAGTTTTTTTTTTGCTTTCTCAAGTACTGGTATTTTCTTGAGAAAATGCAAATTTCACTGCAGACTTTTTTTTTTTTAATTAGGGATTGACATGTTCTTAAAAAGCACTATTGTACTGTAGTTCTTATTTAGGATCTTCATTATACTGAAGCAAATACAGTAGAGAGAGTTCACCCAAAAAAAACATGAACAGTTTGTCATCCTTCATTCATCCTCATGTCATTCCAAACTTGTTTGACTTTCTTTCTTTGTGGAACAAACAAAAAGTACATGTGTAAAAATGTCTCAGTGGATTTTGATCATATAATGGAAGTCAGTGGTTACCAAAAATTCTTACATTTTTTTTCTTTGGTGCTCCCCAGAAGAATGAGGGTGAAAAAAGAATTAAAGAATAAAACTAGGTGTTTAACTTTAAGTCAGGTTTCAAGTTTTTAGCTCAAACACAACCTAATAAATGCAAAGCTTCGGTGCAGATGACACAAAGTTGGTGCAAAAGTTATTCACCACACGCACATAAAAATATAGCCTGCATGTGTGTGTAGTCCTCTTGACAAAGTCTCCGATTTCCCATTTTATTTACTTTTCTCCACAGCCATCCGGAGGCGCTTCCATCTTCTATGGCCCCTTCCCTGTAGCCAGCTCTTTCTGCAAAACTGTTCTCATCCGATTTTTAATACGCAGTACAGTAAACACAGAGCTGAACTGTGTGTCATGTCAGGACCTGTGGCGAGTCGCGCCAGAGTCTACACTGAGGTCAACACACAACGGCCCAGAGAATACTGGGATTTTGAATCGCATGTTATTGAGTGGGGGTATGTATAACTAAATATATCTATTTTATTATTATGTTATATACAGTATATGGTCTATATTGCAAATATAAGCATTCTTTTTTCTTTACATTTACTGTACATTTTGCTCAGGTAGTAACACCTTTAAAGTGGCAAACACAATCAATTTGCATAGTTTTGTTACCTTTATGCTGTGTTTGTGTTACTTTTTATTTTTTTCGCCCTTGAGGAAAAGCTCCAGGAATGTCACCGATTATCAGGGGCCCTGCACACTTGTTTTGTTTTTCCTCTTCAGTTCATTGATGAAATGCTTCTGCAGTTCTCATTGTGCTCTTTTCACTGATGTGGTTGCCCTTCTGTAGCCATTTGCCGTTAAAGGGTTAGTTCACCCAAAAATGAAAATTAGGCTGCGTTTTACTCACCCCCGAGGCATCCTAGGTGTATATGACTTTCTTCTTTCAGACGAATCCAGTCGGAGTTATATTAAAAATTGTCTTTGATCTTTCAAGCTCTATCATTTCACTCAGCGGGTGTTGCATTGCTTCAGTCCAAAAGACGTGAAATAAAAAGCGCCCTTCCATAAAAAAAAGTGTCTCCCACGGCTCCAGGGGGTGAACAAGGGCCTCCTGTAGCGAATCGATGCGTTTTTGTAAGAAAAATATCCATATTCAAAACGTAATAATCACTTTAATGTAGCTTGCGCTCACTGTTGTAAACGGAAGCAGCTCCGGGCGGATTACGTATGAGGTCAGCGTTGCTGCATGCGCCGGTGAGTCTCGTGAAAACCAACGTTTGTTAACAGGAGCAAAAGAAGCAAAGTTTCCTTACTTTAGCAAAGGAAAACCAGTCTCCTCTTGGCTTATATCGAAATCCTCTGACATTCTTCTTTACAAATACTCGTTTTGTACTTCTAATTAGTGACTGAAAGAAGAAAGTCATATACACCTAGGATGCCTCGGGGGTGATTGAAACGTAGCCTAATTTTCATTTTTGGGTGAACTAACCCTTTAATGCTTTTAGAAGAGCTCTTTTGACTCCTTTGAATTTCGCTTGATATTGTTGGCTGATCACATGCTTTTTCAGTGAGATTGCTAGGACCAATTTTTTTGTCTATATGGGCTAAACTGTGGATCATTTATCACTGCTTTGGCACAGAATACATTCAGTGACTACATTTTTCAAATGACATGAATTCTTTTCTCACTCAGACACAACTACCGCTAAAACTCTTATGAACCTACAGGCCAGTTTGCACATTTACATGCTCTTTTCAAAACTGTTAAAATTCAAACCATAATATAAAACTGAATAAGACAGCCAGCAGTTTGCTACATTTGAGTAATACCATATTGAAAATCTAAAAAACCAAAACAATTAGATGAAGCTAAACACATAACACAGGTGTTAGTCTTTAATTACATATATACAGAAGGAGAACACTTAGGAATAATGTTGTACTGTAATTCAAGCATGGACCATCTGACACATACTAGTGAATTCTAAACAGTAGACAGTGACATTCTTGTTTTTAAATACATTTTACAACAGAAAACATAATGCTACCTGTTTGTGGTTTTAGGTCAGTGTTTTATGAGTGAGAAGCTTTGCTAGTGTAATGGGGAAAAAATGAGTTGATTTGATAGATGTATGAAGTGTTTTTGGTAGGTTTGTGCACTTTAAATGTGAAATTACTGTAACTGCTGTGCTAAGCTGAAAGTTGGTAAGGAGAACTGTGTGAAGAGTTTTAAAAAAAAGTGACATAAGTATTGAGATTGTAAAAGCTGTAAAATGACCTACATGCTGACAAATACTTTTATATATACATATATTTTCCAGCAATCAAGATGATTTTAAACTGGTCCGCAAGTTAGGCAGAGGAAAGTACAGCGAAGTGTTTGAAGCAATCAACATTACAAGCAATGAGAAAGTAGTGGTTAAAATACTAAAGGTAAGACCAGTTCCTCCTGGTTCTGTAGTTAATGCAAGTATAAAAATGAAGGCATTTGAAGCCATGTTTTTCTTATTTGTCAAATATTAATGTGGCAAGTTGGTGTACCTGTCCAGAGTTATCTGTGCCTTTAAAGAATATATTGTTGTTAACACAAATGGCTTCGCAATATAAAAAAACACGGTAACACTTTATTTTAAGGTGTCCTTGTTACACATGTTACATATATTATAATAACAATTAATTATGCATAATTACATGCAAGTAACCCTAAGCCAAACCCTAATTCTAACCCTAACCATATAGTTCATTAAAATTACTCAGTACTTAAGTGTATAATTAACAATGACACCTAGACGTGTAACCAAAAACACAGTCAGAGGTGCCAAGAAGTGACACAGATGCACAAATAATCTACTCTTATTAATTTACTCTTTTAATTTTAATTGATTCATTTTTTTTCTTTGATGTAATCCTTTCTATTTTGAAAAATCACCGCAGCAGCATTTAAAAAGTTGTTACAGACCTAATACTTTGTGGATCATTAAGAACTCTCTTTTTTTAGCCTGTGAAGAAGAAGATAAAGCGTGAAATAAAGATTCTCGAGAACCTTCGCGGAGGTCCAAATATCATTACCCTCCTGGACATCGTCAAAGACCCAGTGGTCAGTATTCAGAACCCTTGCGGTTTCTGATATTTGTAATACAAAAATAACAATCAAATTATACTGTAAAAACAGATTTTAGCACTTAAGTGTATTTATTACCGAAGAAATTTTTATTTTTTTTACACATTGCAGTCCAGAACACCTGCCTTAGTTTTTGAACATGTGAACAACACAGACTTTAAGGTAAAAACCTTATTCTCAATCTCCGATAACCTCAAAAACAAAAACCTGTTATATAATTAGTTCCAGCTTTGCTTTGTTTTCTTCAGCAACTGTATCAGACACTGACAGACATTCGCTTATACATGTATGAGATTCTGAAGGTGAGAATTGTAGTACCTCTTTTAAAAAAGGTTCACCAGAGACTAGCTTATTTATAAATGCATATTTCCCATTAATTAAATAAGTAATGAAATGTTTGTTTGGCATTTCTTTCTTACAGTTTAGTAAGAACATTTTGGTTAGAGGTTGAATTCAACATTACAATTTGTGTAAAAAAGGGAAAACGGAATGAGGTTATTTACTTGTCTTTCCCCCATACTGTAATTAGCATTTTACATTTTGAAATATGCAGGAAATCAAACTCAGTCTAGGGCATTAGATACGTACATCAGATTAGAAGTTCTGTATTGTCGATCCTTTTGATTCCTGTAATAGCTGTAGAGGTTTTGATATGATCTCATGTTTCGTATGTCTCTAGGCTTTGGATTTCTGTCACAGTATGGGTATTATGCACAGAGATGTCAAACCACACAACATCATGACTGATCATGAGCACAGAAAGGTAATCAGTCTATTCACATAAGAAACAACAACATTGATTTTTGAGATGAAAGTATGTTGGAAGTATAAAATAATGCTGCATAGTTCTAGGAAAGGAACATTTGTATGTTGGCATAAGACAGCCTTGGAGGTTGGAGGTTTAAAGTTTCATTAAGCCACTGACGTTTGCAGCATGCATACTTCTCATTAGCATTATGTATACAGATAGACAAACAGGCCGATGTCAAATGACTGTTGAATGCTGTCATGTTTCAGTTGCGTCTCATTGACTGGGGACTGGCTGAATTCTATCACCCAGGACAGGAGTACAACATCAGAGTCGCCTCTCGCTACTTTAAAGGACCAGAACTACTGATAGATTACCAGGCCAGACCTAACAGCTATTCATATACAGATGTCCAAATGAAAATACATTTTTATAAAATGTAGCTTGAGTTGTTTTAACATTTTAGATTAAAATGTCTAGTCAGCCACTTGAAAAGTCTTTACACCCTTTAAAACTCTTTAGCTTTTGAGGATTTACCCTTTGAGATTTTGATTGCTGAACTTGGCAAAACAAATCGCAAAAAGCTTTTGGAAATCTGAAACAAATCACTTTTATTCTGTCATTCCAGATGTATGACTACAGTCTTGGTTGTATGCTGGCCAGTATGATCTTTAGGAAGGAGCCATTCTTCCATGGACGTGATAACTATGACCAGGTGAATATCATCAGGAACTTGATAAATGGATAGTTCAATGAACAGTTGTTTGATAACCAAAGGAATATTCTGTGCTTTTATAAATGCATACATGTACCCCCTAAACATTATCCCTATTTACTTTAACCATTTGTAATTTCCTCACTCTAACCTTGATGTTTGCTTTGAAAAATAATAATAAATAACAAAAAATTAAATTAGAGAACCAGAACTAAAGGCCTGTTAACACCAAGGACGATGACTATAACAATAATACTTTATTTTACAGTCCTGTTCTGCTTGTACATACTGGCCGATACCGATTAATTAACCGATAGTTTTTAAAATGGATACTGAACAAAAACTAAACTAATGCTTTATTAAAAAAAACAGTACTGAACCATACTAGTAGTAGTAGTAGTAGTAGTAGTAGTAATAATAATTATAAAAATGTTGAAATTAACACACTCTAACAAGGAACAATACTTTCATTACACAGCTTTCATTAATCTTAATGTTACAAATGGACTCTTATTTTAAAGTGTTACCATTTAATTTCAACAGTCATGCTTAAAGATGCACATCTTTAAATATATACACAAAGGCCATAGCATTAAAATTATATACATATGGATATTGTATGTATACTCTCACACTTTAACTTCTTCTATTCTTGAACACTTGATGATTATCTAATCAAAATAAAAGCGCAGCGCTGAGTCTAGGAGAACTCACCGGTATCACACACACTCCGGACGCGTCGCGTTCAACTCGAGCAGCGGTTTAAAACGGTTTATTTAATCACCAAACGTACACAAGTTTACTTCAAGAATGAACGAACAATGAGACATAGATGAGTTTGAAGTTCGGTGTTTAAAAAACGGAGCAAACGGAAAGAGAAAGCGCGATCTATATTATAGCTCTATAAATGAAGCATTAACAACAATTCGGGACAAATATAATGTCATTTAATGGAAAACTATGTGAATGGCGCTCTGTGGCGCGGCAGGATTTTTTGTCGGCTGCATTTAAATCCGCGTCTGAAGTTTCCCTCTCTGTTCAGCGTGCAGTATCACGTGTCTAAACAAATAGCACATGCTGTCAGTGATTTCAACCACTAGAGGCCGCTCTCGTACTGTATAATGACAGCAGACCCTTCTCAGCAGTTCCAGCAACGGACGCAACCCGGAAAACTATCGGCATGGATTTTTGCCGATAACGATAGTTCCAGCAAAAAACTATCGGTGCCGATTAATCGGCAAAACCGATACATCGGTCGACCTCTAGTTACCACAATAACTGTAATTATACAATTTTAATAACCATTCTAATTCCATGAGAATAACTTTCTTTTCTTTTTTTTTCCAGATGGTAAAACAATAAAAAAAACTGACAGCCAATCAGAATCCACCTAACTTTAAAAAGCTCAGGCATTTATATAAACTACAGTGTGTGCTCATAATAAACAGAACAGTATTGTCCTTTGCTGTGGACGCTAATATAATCGTATGGTTATAGTTATTGTTCTTGTCATGAACAGGCCTTAGCTGTGAAATAAAAAGAAGGCAGCGGCTATTTGCACTGTGTAAATAGCGATAGATGCTATTTACACAAAGTGCAAATAGCATATTTTCTTAGCAATGGATTCTATTTACACTAAGTGAAAATAGCAGTATTTTTTAACGATATGCTATTTACACTAAGTGCAAATAGCTATAGATTCTATTTACATAGCATGTTAAAACAGCAAGATTTTCTGCTATTTATACTTATTGCAAATAGTAGCAATTATCTGCACCTCAGTATTGTAGTACGTTATAAAACAGTACGCAGTAATAATGTATTGAGTGTAAATTATAATTTTAATTCAAATTATTAAATAGATGCCACCTTGCAACCCAAAACACCACATTACAATTAAATATCAGTTTCAGTGGCGTAGATGGTAAGGCGCACACTTTTTGACGCGATCAACCCGAGTTTGAACCATGAACTGTATAAAAACATGGACGTAGTGTCCGTGACGTCACCCGTAGGTTTCTGAAGAGCGGTTTTGATTCACTATTTTCAAGTATCTCTCATTGAATGAGCACTGTGCAATGTCCGAACTGATTGCACTATATTTGATGTATAATCATTTTCTATTCTTAACTGTTTTCAATTCATTTTAAACCTCTTAAATCAATTTTTAAATCATTTTCAAAGTTTTTAAATTCCTTGTTTTATTGTTGTGATTATTTTTTTATTATTATTTTCTTTTCTTTTATGTAAAGCACTTTGAATTACCATTGTGTATGAAATGTGCGATATAAATAAACTTGCCTTGCCTTGCCTTGGTACAAAAAATGATTTTGGTCTATATAACTAATTTTGCCTCATCCGTTTAAATTATATTAAACCTTAAAGTTCTGCATAATTAAGGGCGTGGCCACTTGAGTGGCAGTTGGATTGCCGCTGCTGTCACCACCGTTGAGCTAGGTGGGCGTGGTTTCAGCAACCAGCTCCCACCTCTTTGCCCATTTTCGATTATCCAAACTCGGGTCGATCGCATCAAAAAGTGCGCGCCTTACCATTTACGCCACTGAAACTGATATTTAATGAGCGTCTTTTTTCAGTGTTGACTATTCCAATCAGACGTTGGTGGACGGAGTTAGTGTAAATAGCCTCTGCCAACAAGGCGGGTTATTTGCACTTAGTATAAATAGACACTCCGTAAAAGGCAATGAACCCTCAGCAGTGCTTGCAACATAACACTGTATTGAATTTGCTGATTTTTTATATGATCATTTTAGTTAAAGGTGTACTGTGTATGTGATTTTTTTTTTCTTAAACATTACAAGAAATTTAGGATTAAAGTTTAAAAATGTACTTAATAGCCACTATTAATGCAGTCTTTTTTACAGTGTCTTTGTTATACATATTACATTACTAATACCCTATTAATTATTATAATAAAAGCAATAACAATACATAAGTTCAAGTATCTCTCATATGTGACCCTGGACCACAAAACCAGTCATAAGGGTCAATTTTTTTAAATTGAGATTTATACATCATCTGAAAGCCGAATAAATAAGCTTTCCATTGTTGTATGGTTTGTTAGGATAGGACAATATTTGGCCGTGATACAACTATTTGAAAATCCCCCAGCGACTTAAGACTGGTTTTGTGCTCCAGGGTCACATATAGTAACATGAGCACTGTAACAAATTAATGCAGTTGTCGGAGTTGTATTGACTGAATTGACTTGAATTGTTCCAATTTTCCTATTTCTTCAAAGTTGGTGAGAATAGCTAAAGTTGTTGGAACAGAAGATCTTTATGATTGCATTGATAAATACAACATTGAGCTGGAGCCTCGATTTAATGACATTCTGGGAAGGTGAGCCCTCCTTATAACCTGACATTGTTAGCACTGTCTTCTGTAATTTGATTTTAGCCAATTTACATTTACTTGTAAATGTTAGACATTCCCGCAAGCGATGGGAGCGGTTCGTTCACAGTGAAAACCAACACTTGGTCAGTCCTGACGCTCTTGACTTTCTGGACAAGTTGTTGCGTTACGACCATCAGACCAGACTGACTGCAAGAGAGGCCATGGAGCACCCCTACTTCTGTAATTGCATTTGAAATATTACATTAGCACCAGGTCTATTGAATTACTATGAAGAGAATTTCATTTAATTTTATACATTTATACATTTACACTCATAAATACATAAATACTAATACTAATACTAGTATTTTTAATTAATTATGAAATCTTGCCCCTCGCCTTAGTCCCTGTTGTGAAAGATCAGACTCGCATCGCAGGATCAACTACTGTGCCAACAACTAACACTGCAGTGAGCACTGCCACTATGATAACAGGTGAGCTACCGAGCATATATCAGACTCTTCGCCTGCTTTAAAATGACATTATAATGATATTAATGATTCAAGCACACACCCACATTTTTGTTAGATTTTGTCCATAGAACTTGGCATGCTTTAAGTCTGGAAAATTCCTTTAAGCACAGGTCACAGAATCAAGAACAACAGAATTATGATTTTATACTAATTAAAAATTTTAAGCACATTTATTTGTACTTTACAACTTTGTGCCAATAAGTGGACCTGCCTGCAGACTGCTCAGAAGTTTGGGATCAGAGAGGTTTTTTGTTGTAGTTGCTTGTTTGTTTTTGAAAGAAATTGATACTTTTATTTGGCAAAATATGCATTAATTGATCAAATGACTCAAAGGTGATCAAAACACTTACATTGTTACCTGATGAATGCGTTCTTAATGGAATTAAGCTTGTTTCTGCCACAGGATGAAAAAAAAAGTAAATGTAACTTTTTATTTCACAATTCTGACTTTGTTCTCGCAATTCTGAGTTTGCAAACATAAACTTAGAATTCTGACTTTACCAAGTTTACAGCTTCTGGCTTTTTTTTTTTTTTTTGTTTTACGTAAAAACAAGAGTTTTAACAAGGAATCATTTTTTCGCATATTTCAGTGACACTAGAACTCTTGCAGTGGGTCATAACAATAACAAAATTGCCCAGATGAGTGAGAAAACTGTACATAAACAACTGGAACATTTTTTGTCTGCACCTTCTAAGTTAAAGATAATTCTTCCGTATATTGACACATTGACTGTAGCGTGCATTTGAAGGTGATAAGAGCGATCTACTATCTATTATTATGGCGAGCACTAGCAGAAC